CTCGCACGCTGACCGTTGTAGCATTCCGTTGTCTTTTACCAGGCCCACCGCACACGTGTTCTGCAGACGCTCGTGGCCAGGGTCACGTAGGTCTTTTCTACGAACTATGCACTTGAAAAGACCGACGACACTTTGATGGGCCCGACGGTGCCTCGGCTCTCGCGACATTGTTTATGGTTCGCCCGATATCTCTTAGGCCTTTCGTCCACGATACTACATTTAGATAAACATTTTTCAAATATTTTATATAGGCAATCACCAACCCTGATACGTACGTACATATGTATGTCGGAGAAGAGTCAGGAACAGGGTTGTGGGCGTTTGATAAACCTCCCTTGAAGTTGGCCAGCGCTTGTGGACGTTTGATAGGCCTCCCTTGGAGTTGGCCAGCGTTGCGTTATAACGAAGGTACAGAAGGCTGATACTACGAGTATGAACACTACCGATTCGACAATCAACAGCGGCGATTAGGCACTCGCGACACTAGTGATAATGGTCTTCGATAACGAACCGGCCAACGGGAGGATAGATATACTTGCTCTAACTCAAACGTGTACTAACTCCTCGTAAGGCGCTACTCCCTTCGTCAATGAGATCTCAAGAAAGAATGAATTTTCGTCCCAATGACGCTACCGAGGCCAAACTATGGTGGGGTGTCTAAGTACACAAGATCCTCGGATCGACGTCGCTGTCGATTGGTCAATTTCAGACAAAAGCTGCCTGTCCGTTTGCACAAATCTTAATTGCCGAAAGCCACAGGTTTTATAGCGGGTCCTCGGGTTAACCAGACTTGTACTGTGTACGTGCCTCAACATCAGGTATTCATTGTCCGAAGGAACCGTTGGTATGTGTTTTACTGCCTGGTATCTCTATGGGTATTTCCTTTAATGAGGGTCATAACATCACTCCGCACCTTTGTTAGACGGAGCGCCCGTCCCGTTGACTGCGGCTACGTTCGGCAACTGATGGTCGCCTTGAGCCCAAGTTTATTATCACAAATCGCAAACAAGTACAATTAGGCAGAATGACGGCAAATTGTTTAATTACAACTGTAAACTTTAATTACGATTTTACGGATTTTCCCGAAGTTCCAGGGGAAGGCTCCGGTGTCCTTTCATCTCCGACATGTATATTGAGAAAATCTACATTTTCTGAGTAGCGATAGGGCTTATTGAAAAGCAATTGTAGCGAGTCTTTTGACAAATATTCCTTTGTATGTAACGAAGAAATAAAGGTTCGAATAAATATCGGATTTTTTATATAACACGTGTCAAATTAAAGATTCGTATGAAGGTTAATTATATTTATTTAAAATACTTTGATTAAATATCTTATATTATAATATTTATTTGATTCGATTTTTGATACGGTACATGTTCAATCTTATATTTAATTTTATTTAACTAAAAATAATAAATACCGCAGAAAGTGAATTATCTCTTTATGATATATTAATCCTATATGTAGTAATCCTGGAACTTTTATATTTCAATCTCACTCTCATTTTAGCAAATAGGCAACGCAATCGAAAATACTCAGAACAATAGTAAACGCGCCATGGTACGTTAGGAACGAGGACATTCGGAAAGACCTGGGAATACCAACGGTCAAGGAGGAGATTAACAAAAGTGCAAGAAGGCACGGAGAAAGAATGGCAACGCACCCAAACCGGCTGGCAGCGGAAACGGCAGCGACACATCAAGCATAAAAAGAAGATTAAAAAGGAAACACCCAACAGATCTCACAAAGGACATAACCTAACAAACACGTATTATCTGAGATAATTAAAGAAATAAATCAATCAAATTCGAAGATGGTATCCCACTGGGGGTAGCCATCCACATGTTATAATACTATATCATTAAGCTATAATATTTTACCAAATGTCCTACTGGACAAATTGTAAAAAGGTAAATAAATAAAAAAAAAAAAAATTTTTAGCAAATGTAAAATTGAAACGAGAAACTCGCAAGGATTCTTTTTATAATAACATTACGTTCAAACTCCAAATATCTTTAGCGTCAGAAAAGTACTATTGGATTGGAAATGACCAAAAGGGAGCAGCAGAATTAAAATAGTTTCATAATTACATAGGTTTTTATTTCGTCTTCTTTTATTATTCCTGACTATTATATATAAGGTTCTTCACTTTAACCAGCAGAATATATGCATAACCTTCCCTATAAATAACTATTCATAAATAGATAGGCCAAAACTAAAAATCTTTATTGGATACTAAATTCGCTAATTCTAAGAATCTTTATCAGATTTCAGTCCGGAATATCTACATTGCATTTATAGGTCATCTTTTCGAAGCAAAGTTCTTTTTCCTTTTTCATCTTTTTTCCTTTTTCATCTTTTTTCCTTTTTCATCCTTTTTCCTGTCTTTACAAGATCCGTTGGCTCTTCGTGCGAGAATCAACATAAAACCACTCAGATGTCTAATCACAAAGCAACACAATGTATTTCTTGCCTTCCTTTTTCCCCTTTCTACCGGTGCGTGTGCGTCAAACGTGAACGGCGCGACACTCATAAACAGTAAGCATTGAATATGCATGTTGCGGCACGTGGACAAATACCTATTACCCTTGACTTTCACCAGTGTATCTTCTCTGGCGGAACCAGAGGTGACTGCACTTGCCACTTGTCGTAGCATGTGTGTACATATCTCCTGAATCTCATGCACCTGTAGATCGGCCGTTTGTCGTTTCATTATTTTAGTCGTTTGCTCGTAACGAAAGATAATTGTGAAACGGCGCGGCAAGCCGATCTCATCCGAGCTCGGTCGAAGGTTACCGAGCGTCGTGGCTACATAAATACAGCGAGTGACGGGTAGCGACCATTCGAAGAGCGACCGAGGTTAAAGTAATTTCAGTCCAGTGCAGTCGTTCAGCTAGTTTTCACTGTGAAACGTACATTCGAATTATAAAAAGTGATACGCAAGCGCGTCAATCACGCGACCGAGAAAACGTTTTCTCTTGATAAAACCGATTGAAGAGGAACGCGTATCGGAAGAGATTCGTTTCGAGTTTGAAAGTAAGCCCAAAGAGAAATCAAACATGTACACCAACCCGTTTAACCGCAAACACAGTACTATACGACAGATGTTGGACAAGTTACTCGATCCGACGAAAAGATCCATCAGAAGATCGGAAAGTGTGTCGAGTTCCGACAGTGGCAGTTCCAAGGGTAGCAATAGTTCCCTGACCAGATGCACGCACAACCACAGGGGGGTTTTACACTGGGGCAGGAAGTGAACCACCGAGGAAGATAACCAGTGAAATGCTGTGATTCTCTTCTTTCTCTCCGTTTTTGCTTTTTTGTTTCATCCTCTTTGCGTGTCCTCGCGGGAAAGCAAGCCGATAAGAGAAGTCATTAACAGTGCAAGAGATTTCGATCGAGTTTGTTAGCAGTATCAGCAAAGTATGCCGTGAAAAATACCATTGCACGGCATGAAAGGCCGACTTGTTATGACCCCATCGCCGCGGAGGTGACGCGTTTTGAACCAACGCGGGAAGTTGCGACGCGACTTGGTGAAAATACGAAGCCATATATCCACCAGCGAGACCAGGTGTTATTACACCGCGCCGCGCTTAGCCGCGCCGTCGCGTCGTCAAGATCGATCGTGGCTATTTGCTCGGATCGATGATCAAAGGATATCGTACGAGTCACGGCTACTCGAATGTACGGTAAATATCACAACTGCGATATAAACGTCATTTTTGTTTAGAAGGAATCTAAATGATATTCACTGCGATCAAAATATATGGAGTTGATCACTGAATATTGTCAAATCCATTCAAATGTTACCGAATATCGTATCGAAATACATATAACAACCATATATCGAACTGTAAATTCAGCTTGGATATACATATTACGCACGCATACAAGCGCTATATTTATTGCATATCACATTATTTATTTTGTAGACGAAATTTAATTATACATATACACGTCTATAGCATTGTTAAGACCACCATGTGCCATAATCGTTATAATTTGCAAACGCTTTTCAGTTGGCTCTTAGTTTTATGTTACTAGTCAAAAGTCAGTATTAGTCGCTGAATCTGTACATGAAAAATATGTACATGTTACATGAATCTGTAAATCGACGATAGTATGTTACTTCTAATTTATTTGCTTCGCATGATATTCGAACCAAATAAAAGATATTTATTGAAAAATTAGTTGTTTCGTCTTTCCTCAACTCTTTTCTCATTCTTTTGCATTAGATAACATCCCTCTCATTCTTCTACATTTTAATATAAAATTTTTCACACGATATATGTACTCACATTACAGTCAATAATTGTATGTTAAGCCGTTGAAGAAATATTTTCCATCTATAAATTTAATATTTTACCCATTACTATATTACAAGTTAAACTATTTAAGAAAGCATTTTCTTTTCTTCATACTTTCGCAAATTACATACTATTCGAAACGTATGAAAACCATAGGAAAGATCATGATAACTACATACATATTTGTTAATTTCTTGATTGTAATGTCACTTTGTATCTATACAAAGAAATATTGAAATATATCTCAATATAGAATAGATAAAAATAGGAAGAATCTTTTAAGTCCAATCGAAAGAATTTTTAAATAGACATTTTTTAAATAAACGACATTTTAATATCTTCTTTTTCGTATTCTGGTAACAAAATTACTTGACAACGTATTGAAATTTCAAAACTGCTACCCTATAACATACAAAAGATGGAAAATGTAACTATGTATCCCCATCTCCTCCTCTATCCCCATATCCCCTGTATCCATGTATCTGAACGTTTTGATTGACTTGCAATAACAGTGAGTAAATTTGACCAAATTCGGTAAGTATGCAAATCAAAGAGGAATTAATAACAAAGAGTTACACTATCTTTTTATGAAATTACCAGGAACTATAATACTGAATTATATATTAAAAAATATATCAATATATATATTATATATTACTATTTAGTATATAGGTATTTATATAGAAAATTATGGATAAATTAACTTTTATAAGGTAATATCCAATAATAAAATTGGTATGTATGTATCTATGTATTTTGTAGTCATCAAACTTTATAGCATAGATCTACACTCTGTTACTTAACAAACTCTTTATTTTGAAATCCTTTAATTTTCGACACGGAAGACAGATTAAAAGGGCCCCCTATACTTCTGTTTTCACTGTTATGAGTGGAAAGACGTAAGGCAACAATTTGGTATATATTCCTTTTCCCTGTCTTTCATACGATAAATTTTACACAATAAAAGTTGAAATAGCCACTACTAAACTAATAGTTTCTTTTCTATAAAAAAAATTTCGCGCTGTATCGATTAATGTATTAAAAGATACATGATTCTTTTTAAAAGAGCAAAGTTTATCCTCACATAATTCACGCCCACATACAGAATAACTAACATCACAATATGCCTGCCATCAATTCATTCAACTTCTATCTGAAACATTTTTCGCTGCGGGTAATAATAGTAACGTAAACCGATATCTCAATATCAGGTGAGATACTTGGTATGTACGCGCGCGCGTGTGTCTACGTTATATTGTATATGTACATATAAGTTGCTTAAATGTAATAGTCAAAACTGAAGTCACTTATTATTAATAAAAATCTTATGGTCAGATACATCTTTCGATCATATTGAATTACACCGTTGATTGTAAATTTCCAAGGAAAATTCAGTTGAATGTAACAAATATGCTCGATTAAATGATTTTATGTGAAGAGGCGTATACGTTGAGTCAATTAAACAGCTATAGTTATAAGTTAGTGCTCTGGAAACGTACGCAATAATAGTAATAATAATAATTCAATGCTGAAATATTTACATATTACGTTATTGGCTTAATTGGAATTCAAACCGTTGCAGACGATTGAGAGACGTTAGTGAGGTCAATAAGATTTATTGTCAATAGTTACCTATAAGTGTGCTTTTGCAACAGCAAGCAATTTTTATTCAAATGATAATTAGATAATTGTCAACTGCAGTGTTGTAAATTCTTTTGTTGTTTTTATCATGGATTATCATGGATTACAGTTGTTCACATCAGTCTTGCTACATAAAATATTGTTTCGAAATAAAATATTATCTTTTTCGAGTTTGTAAATATGCGTGTATGGTAGAATAAATATCACTGTGTTTCTCTTTAATTTAAATGTGATATGTGAATGGGATTTGATAATATAATGTTGAAAATAGCGTTTCTGTTATGGTACACAGGTTGCAATTATTTCTGTGGTCACCTATACCTAATCACCAATACATCTTTTAATAAATTTTAATAAACATTTGTCCTCCAGGCCTCCAAACAGGCCTCCTTCCCTATCGTTAATCATTTTGTCAATGAAGATAATACAAGATAATGAGAAAGGAAGAATTTATGCAATTACACATTTTTATAGGTTTAATTAGAGAAATGAATTTTAAACAGAAATTCACTACTAATCGTAAGTATTACAGTATAACAGTAAATTCATTTATACACATATTTTTGCACATTATGTACATTTTGGTAACTTTGAATTTTCTACAAATACATAAACATTTCCAATCTAATTATAGGGTAGCTATTAAATTAAAAATTTTAATTTCGTTGTATTAAATTTTGATTCGGAATAAATTCACGGTACATTGGCAGGAAATACAGCGAAATATGTAATCTAAAATTCTTATTACATTTATGCATGCATAATACATATTCATACGTAGCAGTCTCCATATATTATACCACCTACCGTTGGACATAGAGATAGAAATCAGTTTTATATGAACAGAAAATTCTGCTTAAATATTAGAAAAATTGTATCGGTCCTACCTAAGAATGTGTTACGAAATATTGAAGAACAAAATTTCATGGTACGTACGAAGGAGATTTTTTGATAAAACATGGTATTGATCCAACACACGTGTGTAAAGGTTCACTTTCCCGGCACATTATAGCGTGTACGAAGGCAGTTCGATCAATCTTGCTACGAGAACGTTCTGGATATCTTTTAACCGGACATTATAATCACGACTTATTAAGTTTAAATACATATCGCAATTTCCACTAGAAGAAAAAGGAAGAGAAAGAAATACTTTCGTACAAGATATTTAGATTGCGAGTGTCTATTGGAAACATTTCTGGGAAATTCCAATTACGCAAAAATGTATAAGATTATAATTATCGAAATATAGAAATTTCGAGATATTTAGATTACAAGAATGCTCGAGTACGGAACGGTCGACTTTAAGAAAATAGTATCATAGGCTGTATAATTATCTCATGTTAGATAACGCTATTTAAAAAGTAGCGATTTCGTTTGGGACTTGTATAAATATCCGTGTATTGTAAAATGGGAGCGCAACGTAATTTCAAGAAAATAAAACTAAATCGCTTATCGTTTAAAAATGACCATGGATCATCTCATACTAGACTTTGATACATCTGTCGCTATATCATACTTTAATACTGCTGTAATATTAATTCTTCTTCTACATGTATAAATAGGTCTTGTTTAAGTTTTTGCAGATATCTCGGAAACCAAGACGGATTGAACGACGATAACATGCATAGGGAAAAGTTGTCCAGAATGATGACCTTCACAATATATTTCAAGATCATCAAAATCGGTGAGGTGCAGCTGATTGCGAATAATTGACGAATAAACTTACCACGTATTTAGTGAAAGGAGGTACGTTCAATCGAAGGTTAGTGATTTTTTAATTTCATGGACTTTGCCTTAAGGGGAATAACAGGTAATAATTTTAAAAACAAGATTGATCATTCTTTTCCCATACTGTTCAACAATATTTCAGAGAATTACTTTTACTCATATGTAGCTCTAAGTTTACATATTATATCCTATTATAAGTATTATAGGATGATCGAATTTTGATTTGAAATTGATGAATTATTATTTTCGCATGGGAAAGTATCTTTTATCTGGAACTACTTTACAAACGTAGCTAAAAATTGAATAATTGCACAAAAAATAGCAATTTGTTTCAGTTATCTGTACGATTCTCTCTCTCTCTCTCTCTCTCTCTCTCTCTCTCTTCAATATGTTCACAGATAACCGTTTTATAACACGAAAATTTAGTTGAAAATATCATGTTGTATCAAAGGAATGTTGTGCCTTTAAAATACTGTTGTACGGGAAGAGAAGGTGAAGTTGTAGAAAATCTACTTCCTCTCAGATTTCGTTAGATGTATCAATCAATATCAATGTCCAGGATGTATGAAAAATAAATGTGACGATTATCAAAGCGAGATTGTACACTGTCTCTGGCTCGGTAGAGATTTGTTCCAAAAAGTTGCAGCAAATTATGTATTGGCATGCTGGTTGGCTTTTGAGGCCATCCTGGCCAAAATCGACACACATCGCATTCGTCACACTGCTACATTTGTTTGGCACCGCCAGCCAAGAATGGCAACCAAGGTGGCATTGCCGCCTGGCAAATGCCGACGCAATGAGGACGCAGCTTAACGGAGATGTCAACTTCGTACTAGTGCGTATACGATTATTATCGTGTATGGCGCACAAAAATATTTTAATTTTAAGTAATTAACGCATATCGCGCACATACACTAATAACATACTATATAGTTACTATGTAGTTATATGTACTCTACTATGTAGTAACATATAGAAAACTTTTGTGTATCAGATCTCGTAGATCTACAATCCTTCTGGCATTATAAATAAACTAGAAGATTTTGTAAATTTGGTGTAATTTTGTTCCATGTTTTTTATATGTTAAAGTAATTCGATATCAAAAAATATTGTTCAAGTTAACGTTTTTGTCATAACCATAACATTTCAAATTTATTTTCAGTACGGTTAATTACATTATTCATTGTTGTGATTCAACATCGTTCCATTTTGTAAAATTACAGTGATTTTTCGTTTCGTCTATTTCATAAACTTTCCTTTATCTGTCATTGTAAATGAAGGTAAAAAACATAAATTGTATAAATATAAATTATCTCATAATTTCACTCTTTAGCTGTCCAAATGGATTATCCGTTTGTATTATAGTTAATTAGTTTAGGTAATAATCAGGGTGCTAAGGTATCATGTTCTTCATCTTTTTCACTTTGCACGTCTATTTACGAATATCTGCGTGCATGTAAACGTGAAAATTGACACGGTGGATTTTTCATTGAGATACGTATCAGTAATTATCACAAGAGAAAACGTCGCTGTCAGTGTTACTCCGTTTGTTATCTGGGTATGGTCTCATCCTGGCGTCCTGTCATTCGAAAATATCTCGAATTTACATTCGTGAAAATGTACGGCGCTCTCTCGTTCGGACACAAAAGCCTTTCAAATATTTCTGGTAGCCCATGCTCGGTTTTATTCCCGACTGGTTCCAGCATATTGTTCCACAGTAAATTCGCCCCTAAAACCAAACGGCGAACAAATGTCACTTGCTGCGCATTATTAAAACACTGAAATATACGTAATCGTAGAACAATTGCACGCGTTATGAAATGAAGCTGTTATTGAATTAAATTTCTGTTAAGTCCTCGATTGATTTTTATTAAAATGTTTGTGACGATTCAAATGTATCATTGTATATTTTTGTATAGTTTACAAATAATGTAATATAATACAACATAATATCATGCAAAAATGAAAAAATGCATCGAATACCTTGATAATGTTAAAAGAAGATATTCAAGTGTCGATTTAATCAGTCGGAGCATGATTCTGAACAATCTTTTGCTATATGGTACATGTAACTGATGCGAACGCCGTTCGGCTCTGGTTTCCCAGAGACATTTACATACAAACAACTGTCATTACCGCTACAGTGAATCTAGAATTGTGGCGTGGCCGAATACGATGACTTAACTCTAACTCGAAATCTATGTAAGCAGACTAACTAAACAGGATATTCCACGGATGCTTTGGATGGAAGCGCATCTGCACGGAAATATTTTCCCAAAATCGATAAGAGCACTACCAATAAGAACCTAAACTAAACTGATACAAGAATATAATATGTATTATAGATATAAGAAAAATAACAGTTATTACGACCGTTGTTATATCCACAACAATTATAATATTCTTTCGGTTCTCATGACTGTTTCATGAACCAAGACCGATTCCGATTTCATAATTGCTTTTAAACCCGTGTAAAACATCCAAACGTAAAAAATGCAAAGGAAAGCTTGCTATATAAGCTTAAAAAATTTATGTTAACGATAAGTCTCTATCGCTGCCATATATACATATATATAAAAAGATTGATGCTATATATAGAATAAAAGGAATGTTTCTTGCCAAACATTTCTACTTTATATTAGAGATATCGAATTTTTCGTAAATTAATTTTTTTACGTTTATTACGTAAACTTTTAATAATTGTTTACATATTACTAATAGTTATACAAAGAAAGTTGTATCGGGGCCCCCCCCCCCCCCCTACAACCATTTACTTTATATCATTTATTGCGTTTAAATTAACAATCTTTTTATGTACATTATCCGATTTATAATTAATTGCGTGAATGAGATTGTTGCAAAATCATGACCAACTTCATGTTACGTATACATGTACAGCAAGCGAGAAACAGACACCAGATGCGCTGCCTCGTTGTCAGACCATCCATGACTTTTGATTAACTTATCTTATAAAAAGACTAACTAGTACTTGACTTTGGTATGGTCGTTGTTAACCGATTTGTACTTTCGTTTAGGATGAATGACGTAGAGTGCAGAGAAAACACAATCGTCGTGTAGGCTTCCAAGATGTAATTTATTCAATTACTTTTTCGGCATAAAATTGAGATACAGATAGCTGAACGTTGAATAGTTACAATGTACGAGCGTTTATTACCACTACCATACATAAACCATAATTAAATTCATTTATGATATTGAATTTTTGCAAATCTTTAATCAAACATTTGTAAATGAAAATAAATTCCAGTTATAAATAATACAAAACCTATACTAAGAGGCGTTTATTCACTTAGCATATACTAGATTTTATGATAGAATAGAATTAAATATTTATAGAATTTATTATAGATATAGAAGAAAAACATAATAAGTATATTTTGTTGATTGTCTGATTTTAATAGATTGTAATAAGAATGAAATCATAAAAAAGGTTTTAAATAATTGTGAATCAATGATTATTATGATATATATTTTTGATGAATAATCCTTAGGTACAAGTTTCCCTTTCTTATGAAATAAACAACAATCAGAAACTTTTGAGCGATATTGTAACGTATTTATGAAGTAGGACATTACTTTGGAAATCTCGTTATCTGACACTATATTACAAAACTAGATTATGGCCGGAAACTTTGAACAATTTACCGTGAGTCTATTAAAATAGAAATTTTATTTCATTATAAATGTTCGTAGTTGTATTATTTGTTATTTATATTCCTACCTAATGCATGTCCCTTTTGACTGAAGTGAAAGCAATCGTACGTCACCAGACTAGGGTCAATCGGTGGTGCTCGCTTTGGGTTTGCGTTCGGAGCATTAAATAATTTAATGAACGGTTGCAATACCACCGTAAAATTCGGAGACGTGTCGTATCTAAAATAAAAAAAAAGTTGGGCATTATTCGAATTGTTTCCAATAAATATTTATCTGAGATAATTATCCGAATAAATTCGTAAACTCGAATATTCTATCAGTCGTATAATTTAATTATTCGTTATTCGATGAAAATTATTCTTTTTATTTATTCGAGTAATTCATTATCATTTGTTTACTATATATGTTCATTCGAATACTTTATTCAAACATTAATTCTAAAATTATTTGAATAATATTACAAATAATTGTCTTCGCTAAGTTTTATGCTGGAGTCTTTATACAAATACATTCGATTATGCGTGTTACGGATAAAGTTCGTAAAGTACGTGTATACAAACAAAGTCGATTTTGCCCGGGCAATGTCAGCATTTTACGTCACATTGCTACGCTGTCGCTGCACTACCTCTACATTGCCGTTGCGCTGTCCAGCAAAATCCGAAGAAATAGTTGAATAGCGAATCTGCCCGCTGTAATCTGAGCAAAATCGCCATTGGCCACCATTAGGTGGACAATGTCGGTAGCTACCATTTCTTTGCGAAGTTTGCTAGGTTTGAAATGGGCTTGAAATGGGCTTTGTGCTTAATGATAAAACCACGTGGGCAGCACAGCGCCAAGTTGTTTCTGTTTTATTAAACGTAAACGCCTTACTACCGCGGTTTATTATATTAGAAAAACGTTAATTTGTGTTTTCATTTCAAGATAATGTTCTCATTTTCGAATGCAAGCTTGATATCTCGTAGGGAGATTGAGTTTATCACTTTCTGGATTTTATGTTTATCTTGCTTTAATTCAATGAATGTACCGTTAATACTTTCTACTAGTTCTTGCCGCAAATTGACTCTCGTACGATGCACAATCGCTTTCACTGTTCCTCACAGATCTAAAAGTCTAACAGTGATTTAAGATCTAGCGAACTCGCGGGCCAAACAATCTCTCCTCCCGGACCAATCCATCTTGCATTTTTCTTTTTTTTTATTATTATTTATTTATTTACATTTTACAATTTGTCCAGTAGGACATTTGGTAAAATATTATAGCTTAGTGATATAGCAATATAGCATGTGGATGGCTACCCCCAGTGGGATACCATCTTCGAACCATCTTCCATGATAAGGTAAATGAATAATATTTCAAATATTCTTAAACAAAGTTTCATATGCTAACGCAAGTTTTCTATTAATTCTATAATTATAAGCAGTTATAAGAAATATTTACTGATTACTCAATTACAAGCGTACCTTCCTGAATATATTAAAGCTTCGACGGCTTGCTGATAAAGATGCGACATTTTCGAAGCCGCAATGTCCGGTCGATTACCTCTGTGCATGCAAGCACAGTAAAGTGGATGTAATATATGGCACATGGTACTTTGTGGTAACCTAATAGAAACTGTAACATCTATAAGTTAAAGTATTTTAATTAGTGAAATATTTAAAACGACATCTATACGAGATATGTACATACATGTTAGCGACATCGCATTTTCTTAATGATATTACGGCAGATAACCCGCCGCTATTTATGACTGGGCCTGAGTAAGGATCTTGGCAGAATGAATCTTGAGTGAATGTTCAGAAAGTGGATAACTGGCTGCTCGATGTCGCCGAGCAATCAAGTGTCGATATGAATATGACTATTTAGAGGATGCATGTGGTGAGTTTGCGGGTGGCAAGCGATCCGACGTCGCATTGCCAAAGAATAGAGATTTTGTCTAGAGGAGCAACGGATTGATGCTCTTTCTTAGACTTAGCGGACTGAGGGGGACCGCATGACATTTATCCAGTATAAAAAGATCTAACATATATATACCTGGTGGCTTACGGAAGTATTTGAATACTTACTGTAGAAATCTTTATACGTACATCATGTGTGTTATATAAAACATATTAAAATTTTAATGATACCGTGATGAAATACGAGAAGTTACGAGATATTTGTTATATGTATGTATGTACTTGATAAATAATTAGTATACAATATGAACAGCCATCTTCAATATACACCAAGCCAAGCTATGTTGTGCTACGTTAAGCTAACGTTAAGTGACCATTTGAGATTTATCTACGCAAGTCATACGCTGACTGTTTATAGTCCACTTTAGAATAAGGGTAAGGTAAAATGTAATCATGAATCCACAAAGAACAAATAAGCGCGCTGATTATTGCTTATTGACCGATGACTATCAATGTTTACAGTCCCTGTACAAAAACTTACCGTTTGCCCGCTCGATCTTTAAGCGTTCGAGTATTTTTATGGCCCTGTTAGGCATACCTTTCCAATTTTGCTTATTTTCTTAGTTACAGTTTACAATTTTTTCGCAAAAAAAGAAAACGTCCGGTGATTTGATTTATCGTGTTGGAAATAATAGTATATAGCTATTTTCCTAGTGGTCCGTTCAGTTTACAAGCAAGTAGCTGTTGATAGTATACACATGTCTGATTAACGATTACCAGTGCATATTTAGATGGTTCAGGTTCTTTGTGTGCAGTCTTCTTAAAATAAATGTATTGCATAATCCAACTGCTAGATTGCATGGATGGCTTTCTTTTACTCGCTGTTTTTATTTCTCGGCGGAGCATGTGGCAATGCAAGATTGAAATGATTTCGATTTTCGAGAATTTTCGACAAGTTAGTCGTCTACCTGAATACATATCCAAGTATTTTACCATGTTCGCTTGTGATATAATTTTATCGTTTAGCAATATAGCAGGAGTTGATTGTTTCTTCAATGCAAATGTGATGTGTTTGGATTTATTTGTTTTCTTTGATTTTAATATTACACTTCTTAAACGAAATTTGAAGTATGCGTAATGTTTGTTGTAAAACTTTCTTTCGTTTTCATTTTTAGCTATTTATAGCAATATCATCTGCAAAAGTTGATAAAGATGTATCTGCTGACGTTGGTTACATACCTGCTGTGTGAAGATTGTACAGCACATATTTACATATGTACAAGCTATGAAAGCAAGAAGTAGGGAACAGCAAGAGGTGACATCTTGATAACGAAACCATTTCTAGATAGACATATAATTTAAATGTCCATACGGCAAACTTCGATAATGATCGGTAACTTGCAGCAAAATCCCGCTTAGCTGAACGTATAGCCACAACCAATTTTTAATAAAGGGACAAGGCATCGTCGAGTAGCATCAAAGGTATCGCTTGGAGTGTCGCCTCTTGCTGTGTCTTATTGCTTATTCCTTGCTGTAATCGTGCTGTGTTGTGTCTCGTATCGGAACAAATAATATGCATATACATAAATCCACCTTCAACCGTGTATGAACGTTTCGATGAAACTCATCTTTCCTTCATTAATGTTTCACTTGTACAAATATTATCCGATTCACTTCACACGTTCTATTATGCACTACGTCATAAAATTAAAGAATCACTGAATTTTGATCAAAAAAAATTGTCGATGTGTATTTGAACTGATGTAACTTTATGAAAACAAAGAGATCGTACAGTTTATTTCATTTTCAAGGCTAAATGGTGAAATCTGCACTCTCACATTCTTGAACTTCACTTTTTTGAAGATTGTTGCAAAACAGCATGGGAAATTCAAGTCGCTTTTTCCCTTTCCAAATTTTACGAATTCAAGCGACTCTACGTGGTTTGAAAAATTCTTTTCTAGCAATTCGTTTTAAGGACACACGAGACACAAGATCGACCGTGCAACGTGCAACTTCTTCGTGGTATACCCTGGGATGTTCTAATGTTAGCGGCACACTTTTCGTTTAAAGTGCTATAAATCGTTTAAAAAAGATTGTACAGTAATTTATTAGAGGTTGTTGTAGAGATCGTTGCATCGAGAGGGACTTCTCTTCACAAGGTCACCCTAAAACGCTGCTATTTCATGACGAAGGCGCTCATAAGTTCAAGCAATTGTACGTATTATAAAAGCTCTATTTCTATCATTTTTTTTTTATAATATAGGATTTAAAAATTTCCTTATACTTTAGACTATTATTATAAACGTAGAACTAGAATATTATATAGAATATTATAATATTATAATAATATGGAATATTTATTTCAAGTTATAATTTTGAATTAAATTAATGTGATTTTATGACATTCCCTATTTATATATTCACCATTTTTATAGTTGTGTTGTATCCTGATCCTTGCAATAAATTAGCCGAGTTTTTCTCTTTAATTTTTTAAATTTTAAGTTGCACCTGTTTTAGGTTGCAATATTAGACGAAGATTCCATTTGAAACATTCAAACCATTTTTTTTCAGAATTATCGTAAACATTACCTATGACTGGCACAAGATTGACTAATGTACGAGGTAGAACAATTTTCAAGAAGTCCAACGTCCTTCGCAGATGAAGAGCGTAGCGAAGAGGCGAAAATTGTGCACGATTGAAACATTCCGCGGAGCAAATATCGTTTGCGCCGAAGAAGATTGTAATCAGCTATAACACAGAAATATTCAAACTTGTTATTTTAAAAGCAAACGTATCAAGTAAAGTTTATTTTGTTCTGCATACATATATTTCCTACTTATCACTGTAGTAAACACTGCAAAATATCTGATATACTTCGTCTATTCAAGGTTATGTGTTAACCTTTTAAGAATGCGATTGATTCATGCAAGTTGTCAAGTATAGCACTATAAATTTCGCATCTTAAATGTAGTAATAGCTCATCCAATTGATTAATATTTGTTTTCTATAAAATGTTGAAAGTATGTACGTATGTCCTTTTTCTTTTTTTTTTTCTTTTTTAGTTGACACCAGAAACGCAAAAATAATTAATTTTTAAATCGTTCATTTGGAATTTTTTGTCATGTTTCATTAAATTATTAAGAGGTAAAGCTTTGGGTTAGGTTCTTTTATTACTGCCTGTCACGTGAATATTATGTAATATTTCACATACCTTCCACTGCTTCTTTATGTTTATTCTTCGATCCCTTTTGATCCTCTGAACAAGAATCCGAGCTTGTTGTAGCGCATCTTCCGTAGCAGCAACAGGAAAGGCTACATTTAGTTTCGCCTTCGTTGAGATAAATTCACCTGTGCCCGTTGAATATCCTATTAAATTGGGATTGAACACCTAATACAATAATACAGAACAATTATATGCAATGATACAGTACATAGTAATTGTCGATTTTGTAAGGAATTTTTGCAAATAACAGTTTCTCGACACATTAGTCGACCTGCCACGATATCGACAATGAGAAAAGGGTCACGGCGCAAAGGGTGCGGTGTCGCGCCAGAGCCTGGAATTATTAGTATTTGGAATACTTTGGAATAATCCAGAATCCAGAAAATTCCCGAAGATTCGTAAATCGTTCACGTATAAATAGGGCGCGATCAACCGTCGGGCAACGCCATGCACCGCAATGTGCCGACGATCGATACATACGTTAGATATTTAATTTCTAATATAAATTCTAACCATGTGTTAATGATATTTATTAATGCTACCGTACTATTCATTGAAATTACGATAAAACTACAGTGTCGTAAGGATACAGAGAATCGTAGATATTTTTATTAAATTCATACGCACTAAAAAGAAAATTTTTCTTGAAAAGTGAGTTTATAAAAGCAGCCAATGATCGAAACATAAATATATTCCTAAAGTATTCGAAACAATTTCTATACCAATAATTATATCAGAGTTTCATTATCTTTAAATCAGAATAAATGTCTACTGTACAATAATAACAATGCGTGAGCATGCATCGTGAAAAACATGCGTACATTGCGTTTCCCTTCAATTTGCTAAATTGGATTCAAGGAGAACGTAAATTTAATGCGTTTAATACCTTTAGCAAATTAGGAACGGTTAAGAATCGTCTCCAATCACCTTGACCACCCACACACCAGCTAACTCCACGTGCTTCTATAAATGTTCCTACTGCAAACTCTTCTAGAGCTCCGCTTCCTGCGACCAACGAATCGCCCAGTCCACCGACTACATCTATATCACCAGGTCGTAAACGATGAACACTGTCAGGGGGTGATAATGATCTAAGGTAAAAGAATAGGGAATAAGAAGGATAATTGAAAATTATTGCTACTATTGTTACGCATAACGATTACTATACATACTATGTACTATGTGCATTTGTAAGTCGCAACAAAATATCTTGTATACTTAAATATTATAGACTTGTCTCGAAATAAGTAACACGCTCGTCATTAACCAACTGTTTATTACGAGTCAGACAAGCAAGAGAGAAAGAAAAACGAAGTCTCCAGAGTGTCGAGATAGCGGCAAATCATAAAGTGATCGGCCGGGCAGTCTTCTATTTTAAACGACGTTTCTGTTTACTCGATCGTAAAAATTTGTGGTCCCTCGCTTTTACGGACCTCTTACTCGTTCTCGGATATCTCACTTTCTCTCGGCGACTTTAAATAAAGAAGAGAAAACAGATAGTTGCTTATTTCGAGTCAGGAACTAGTTGTTTACTTCGGGGCAAAAACTATGTACCGATATTATTTAAATAATGATAAACCAGACTGATACCTAAGCTGTTGAGGATTAAGAAAATATTTCTGTATTACGAATTCATTGGAGTTCATTTATCGAAATATTATTTGATGTATTTTACTAAAGATTTATCGAAATTTATCTACTAAAAATTATTTTTTACTAACCAAACAAATTTTCGTAGTAAATTTTTCAAAGTTTCGGCCTTCTGTTTTGAAAATTATAGGAGGTAAGTAGATTGTTAAATAAATAAGTAAATAAATGAAGGTAAAAATCTAAATATTTCAAAATAGGAACTATATTTAAAGATTGTTGTAATTTAAATAAAATACAAACTCGTATATCATTGATTTCCATTGATTAATTAATTCTTGAAATTACTTACTATTACAATACTTGATACGATAGTAAGTAACGAAACTGAAGAAATATACTAATAAACTTTAATTGCTTTTATGCTTTTAATGACTTTTGCTTTTAATATTTTCTGTTTCTCTTCTTTCTATCTCTTCTTTCGTTTCAATTAATGATAATATATTACACATACATACGTACGTAGTTATACATTATACATACATATAAATAAGCGATCCATAATAATTGTAATAGCACTGATGCGATAAGATGCTATATTAACATTATATTATATTATAGTACATAGTGCGTTATGCTGTACTATGATAAGGCATGTTTCGTTGAAGGATCTTAATTAAAAAGGTGTTGATCGAACATACCTCCCAAATTGTACATTACACGGAAATGGCACATGATCAGGAACATGAGGTTGACTTCTTATGCCACCATATATCACAGGATACACAATTCCATTTTTGTCGACATCATCCTAAGAAGATAGTCTTTTTTATATTTAATTATTTAGTCTATGTCCAGAACATCTATCTGCACTTTTCTTTATTATTTGAATGTAATTACTTTTAATAAAATGCGTCTATACTTATGCATTACACATACACGTATGTATAATATACATTCGTTACACAGCATATTCGGTAACAGGTGTCAGGAAATTTAAGGATTGATTCTTGCAGTCGAAATAAGACGAATGTCAAGAATAAAAAAAATTACATCCTCGGCTTTGTCTTTGTAGGTATTAATAATTAAACATTAGCCGAAATATCTTGAGTGTGCGAGCAAACCTCCTTACACGAACTGCCCATATTGTATCGTTCGATTTGACCTATGATCCCTATGCACCCCGTTGCTTAAGCTGTCTTACTTTCGTTCGTCGGACAGAAGGTCTGCTCGCGTGCAGGGGTATTTTGGCCTGTTTCATTTTGGTTATATTCCCTGACACCTGTCACCGAACACCTATTTATACATATAAATATATGTCGGAGAAGAGTCAGGAACAGGGTTGTGGGCGTTTGATAGACCTCCCTTGGAGTTGGCCATCGTTGTGTTATAACGAAGATACGGTCTGATACTACGAGTATGAACCCTACCGATTCGACAATCAACAGCGGTGGTTGGGCACTTGCGATGTTAGTGACGTTGGTCTTAGGTTCGATGACGAATCCACGGTCAACGGGATGAAAGATATACTTGCTCTGACTCAAACGTGTACTACTCACTTATCGTAAGGCGCTACTCCCTTCGCCGATGAGATCTCAAGAAAGAATGAATCTTCGTCCCAACGACGCCACCGAGGCAAACTATGGTGGGGTGTCTAAGTACACGAGGTCCGAAGGAACCGTTGGCATGTTTTACTGTCAGGTACCTCTATGGGTATTTCCTTCAATGAGGGTCATAACACCACTCCGCACCTTTGTTAGACGGAGCGCCCGTCCCGTTGACCGCGGCTACGTTCGGCGACTAATGGTTGCCTTCAGCACAAGTTTATTATCACAAATCACAAACAAGTACCATTGGGCAAATTGTTTAATTACAACTGTAAACTTTAATTACGATTTTACGGATTTTCCCGAAGTTCCCGGGGAAGGCTCCGGTGTCCTTTCATCTCCGACATATATATAACATCTTTCTCTATTAAATTTATAAGTTTTCTTTCGCTATAAAATTTGATATAATTAATCGCAATTAATTACAATTCATTATTAGACCTGGGCACAGCCAGAAATTCATATGGTTTAATGATCGATTCAACATGTGAATTTGCTTGTGTCTAGTAGTAGTTGTGAATTAAATTATAATTAATTAAATAAAGTTAGAGTTAGTTACTCGTTATATATTACGTATACATATTATGTTACATATTAGGTTTCCCTATAACGATAACGCGAGAGATACGTATAGCAGTATAACGGAAAATAACATGCATCTTATTTTATTTTTAAAGAATAAAAGCGAAAACCTCCTCGAATTACTTTATCCTTTATAATCTATAAAACGAATTGAAAACCGACCGAGAATATAACAGATAGATTCTATAGAATGAATAAAAAACGAATAGAAAATAATGAACAACCAAGGAAAGATAATGACTCTGTTGCTAGTGATAAAAGTGACTATTTGGAGATTACGAACGAGAAACATAATAAATCATATTTCTTATTTTTTGACAGGAGAAACAACTGTTCTCAAGGGTTCGATATATTCGATATGTACTTGGTTTGGCAGTTTCATCCTCTTTAAAATATTGCTTGTTTTAATAATTATATCTTGAACGTTCATAAAACTTGGTCAAGTCATCATAGTTATTGTTAGAAAACTTACATCCTTGGACCTGACAAGTTTGTTTTCGTTTCCACCTACGTCGTATTCAAATACTCCCGTTTAATTTTAAAGACACATTTTAAAATGCAAAAATAAAAGAAAACTGTACTTATCACGTTTCCTTCGTGTGATTTTCATTCCATATCATTTCAAATATGTAATTACCTAAATGTTTCTGATTTAAATTAACAACTTCTCGTATGACTCTACTGTATACGTATACCGATAATTTACTTCCAACGAGCATCATATAGAAGATAGAAAATTTTCAGTTAATAGCAAAGAAGAAATTTACGTGCGCGCGTTTGTCACACTACTACTTACGGTTAGCGAATTTTTTATTATATTCTCGTTCTTATTCTAGCGCGAGTTCTTCAACGAGGCATAAAAGTTCCGATGCGTACCATTTTGCGAGCATTTGCGGTATCATGTTCGATGTAAACATGGCACCATCAGTTTCGATAGAATTTCATCCTATATCAACCGTCATTTTAGTGGCAACGAGTTTAGCACATATAAAATACAATGCACGTCGCGGCGGTTGCTTTCCTTCATTTGCATTCTATCGTATCGTGGCTTAAATACAGGTCGCAAATAATTTACGGACGCCCGTGCCCGTGCATGAAAATGGACTGACTGAACATGAGACCGAACAAACACGGGGAATCCGTTCTAGTTTGTTCTTTCAAAGAAAAGTACTGGCCTTTCACTAAATTACTCGGCATGCAAAGCACTCTTTCGTTTCTTTGGTTGTCTAGTCGTTCTTCCGGTTTAACGTAACATGTACATAGGTTGCACTGTCGCGTTAACATGCAACATTCTGGCGCGGAAACAATGAAACCGATCAAAATTCAGCAGTAACATGGTTGATAGTCAAGTTGATATCATTCAGTTGAATCAACCGATATATTGTAGAATAAATAATACTTTTTGTATTAACCGAACATTGATCGATCAGTGGATTAGACGAATGAACGTGACACGAATCTATGGAGCGAGTGGACTTACTGTTAGTATAGTAGCTGCTGAACGTGGTTGCGAGGAGAAAAATAGTTTGCGGAAGTAAATAATTGTAATTAATTGTAATTTTGGTTTGTGAAAGTAAATATTGTATTGCACAAAAGATTGTATTGGTTCAATCTAATTATCATCTATATTTATTTCATTATACTGCTACAATTCGAAATCTATTTCAACTTTCCAAGTATCTACAATCTACAATATTTGTATAAACAAAAAAAAAAAAAAAAGAAAAAGAAAGAAAAAAGAAAAAATGCATTTATTGGAAATTTGGAGGCTATTTAGAAGCGTATAAATGTACCGAATGCATGTAATATCCAAAAATATGTTCTTATCGGAAATATGACCACCATCTATGGCATTAGGCATTCGAAGTCCAATCATTGCATATTGCTATCTAAATATTAATTGATCGACGCCTTTCAGTCAGTTCCCAGTGCCAATTAATTCTTTTACATAACACAGTAACAAATTTGATAATGAAATAAACAAGTTGTACGAGTCAATTTTATAAATTACCAGCTGATTGTTCTATTCGATATCAAGTCCAAAAACTGAGCAATTAAAATTTATAACCTATAACTTGTCATTCGTTATTAATATACCATTATCATGAACAGCTGATAAAGCGCAAGAGGACCGGGATATCCCATTATTTATAAAGTGAGAGCGTAATTGATGTTTATTAATTACAAAAAAAAACCTCGCAAAGACGATATTTCTACAATTTTGTAATTAAAATTAATCTAAAAAATTAATTTTGTAGGAGCAGGATTATTCAAGTGTTTTAGTGGGCCTTAGCGAAAGGACTTACCCTTCCTGATTGAAGCATGTTTCGCAACAGGTCCACGAAAGAACCCGCGACTGCTGGCAATAGTATTAAGATCAACGGCGGATACTTGGTTTCGATTCTCATGATGCAGCGCACGAGAATCAAAGGATTTGCTAAAAATTTCGTGCTATTTTTTCAATGCTTTCCTTTTGAGGTTTCAAGGTTTATAGTAGCTCGAGAGATTTATTTCAACGAATGAAACTTTCTCTTCTTTCTTTGTATCGATGTCGTTACCGTTGCCGAAACCTTGAACTCGAGCTTCCTTCAAGCATGTCCTGGTTATTTCACGTGACATACGGTCTTCGAAGTAAACTGCAAATTGCATTATTATATGCTGGAATTTTATATACAACAGACGAGGGAAAGTATTCAACGAAATGAAATTTTACAAGTTACAAGCCATCTGATTATCCTTCTGGACAAAAAAAGCAAAGTAAAATAAAATTGATACTTATAATCTATAATTTGTAGTTTATCGATTCACTAACATTATTAGTTAATAAATTATCGTGCAAGAGTCAAACTAAGATCAAAGTACTTAAACTATCAAACTGAAAATTAATCAAATTATGCAAACCTTTCGTGCTTGTTAACTTTTCTTTTGTTAAACTTTGCAAACAATAGAAACAGACAATCTACAGAAAATTTCGTGTCCTATAAATTGTTTATTAATCGAATTTGCGAGTTGATTAAACGGAGCTAATAACAGTTTGGCATGCGTGACGCGTAAAACTTTCTATTATTCCTGAACTATTCCTAAACGAACAATCGTGGAATTCGATGAATCGCGCTGACCCTCGAATAATGGAATAGAACATCAAACATTCAAACGATATTACATAACGTATATAAAGATATAACGAGAATTATAGAAGACGACGTTTTTTGCCAACATTTAACATGCTTTACGATACCGTACGAGTACGAAGTGTTTTGTTTTTATGGATGAATATATAGAACTTGGTCATTTTACACATTCACTGTCGCATCTTAAAGTATACTTAGTTACTAAAACCTTATTGGTAATTTGGTGAAAAACTATTAACTTCTATATCAAATACTGAAGTAGCTGCTACAGTAAACTAACTATAAATGCTTTCTTAAACTGCTACCACTTGTACAAGCTTAAAGTCAAGTACTTTTTCAAATTACTGTATCAAATTATAAATTCAGTCGAAAATTCTTTCGACAACCTGATCTCTCTGGAATTTTGTCGGATAATTTTTTAACAAGAATGGATAAGATAATCCGTTGTTTCCATATGGCACGATGTGTCACGAAGCGATACAACCAGTCGCCTTAACCGAAGGAAAAAATTGTTTATATGTTTGGAAATATTAACTTTTTCCATCCATCTTTGTTAGAATCTTTTGGCATCATTCGGTGAGTGCTATCTAATCTAAAAGTTACAAATCTTTATTCTGTCACCTTGTACCGTTGTATCAGCAATAATTGCTCGAAATGTTTTTTCGCATAAATGAACGGGACGAATATGATATAAAAATTCGATATGTCCATGATTTATCACATATTCTTAAAGTAATCTTGTTGCACAGTGATGTTATTGTGAAAAAAGTGTACAGTAGTTACAAATAGTGTCTAAAATGGGCATTAATATTTGTAATATTTTGATGAATGCACACTCAAACACGACATTAGTAGACATTCGAGACAGAATAATTAAACGATTACTAGATTCTGAGTTCCTGATTATTAATTTCATAAAACATTATGCTCTGTCCTAATGAAAGATTAAAAAGGCATTTACATGGAGAAACTACAAAGTTTATATTTAAAAAGGAAATGACAAAAACGATACATTTGTGTAGGTCCATGGTAAATTCCAATTTTCTTGCTTATCATAATTGTTTCATAATGCATTAGCATATTATCTAATGCAGTTTATAAGATATACTTTAATATTTTCTATGTTTAATATGTTTCCTTTTTAGTTTTCTTTTAGTTTTTGCATACACGTTACTTCTTAACAATAGAAATTCTCAATTTCAAATTTATTCGATTCAATTATATACATACATACGTACGTACACGTATATGTATGATATTCATAATATGTGTATAAAAGATCGTGTTTTTCATTTAAAGGAAAAACTAATATGTATATACAACGTAAGCAATAATACTTTAAAGCCGGAAGTAAGATTTACTTGTAAGAGATATGAATTTAGAGATAAATATCGTTTTTATAAAACAATTTCGTATCATTTGTTGAATTATTATGAGAAAAGAATTTATGTATGTACTAAATTTAAGATTGTAAAGCCATTACTGTCGATAAATGTTATTTTTAGTATATACATTACTTCATAGGAAAAGTTAAAATAGGACAAACCGTGCAAATCTCGTTTAAAGGATAAGAAAACATTCCACATCCGCACCTAAATTAGCGTACATAAATTCTACAAACGGTGACTTACACATCAATGAAAAATGTAACTTCTCCGTGTATCAATATCTTGCAGTCGTTTCAACCAAAACTAGGCCCGACGATGCTTCATTTTAATTTACACCCGAGCTTTCAAGAGAAATTCATTCGTGATTCCTTAAGCTTCTTTACACTGTTTTCACATCCATGTTCTTTTAATTATAATACTATACTATACTATACTACAATAATAATAATAATAATAATAATAATAATAATATATAATACCATCGGCTTTAACGCAATGATTGATCATTTTCACTTCTTCTTCACTAAATTTTAATCGCGCACTTTCTCACTGTTTTTAATTTTCTTTATACGAACTATAATGTTGCCTGCATTAAAAAATTGCAAAGAAAATATCACAAAAATATAGAGGGAAAAAATAATCTTCGTTATTTCCACTACAAGCAAGAGATCGTATACGACATGAACGAAGTCAGTGAAAGAAACGTACATATGTACTACGTATATCCGTCGTCGGTAACCCCTCTACTTTTCAACTAAGCGAAACACCTGCGTTCTTTTGTATTCTTACACGGTAGTAATCGTACGTGAGTACGAGAGCTATGTAACCATCTATCGCGTATCCTCGTATCGTATCGACAACGCGTATCAATTTGACGGGCAAAAATGCATACCCGTTTTTGACGTACGTATTCTCCCGATTCGTGTCACCATTGCGTATCAATTTACTATTAATTTATAACTTATATAATTTATAAACTATCAATTTATAACTTTTAAACTATTCATTTATAACATTTAAACCATTCATTTATAACATTTAAATTATTAATTTACAATATTTAAACTATTAATTTTCAACATTTAAACTTCTAATTTGTAATATTTGAGCCATTAATTTACATTTAAACTAACCATTTACAATATTTAAACTATTAATTTACAACATTTACACTATAAATTTACAACATTTAAACTATTAATTTGTAGCAATTTACTATTAATTTGTAACATTTAAACTATTAATTTACAACATTTAAAGTAGTAATTTGTAACAACTCACCATTAATTTATAACTTTTGAACTATTACTTTAAAACATTTGAGACATTAATTTATAACTTTTAAAAACCACTTCTTATGGTATCAGCAAACCTTTTCTGTTTGATCGACCGTCGGCAGCTCGCTAAGTGTATACCAACAAATGTATGTCGGAGATGAAAGGAAAGCCGAAACCTTTCCTTGGAAATTTTGGGAATATCCTCTAGTACTTTAGCCTAGATTTTATCATAGCTGTAATTGTTCGAGATTTGTGATAGCGAGATTGGGTTCGAGGTGACAATTGGTCGCCGAACGTAGCCACGGTCACGGGATGGACGTTTTGCCTGACGGAGGTCTGGAATGGTTGTATGGGTTTTCCGAGCAATTTGGTTGTGGCGGCATGCGGCCTCGGGAGCGGGCCTAGCCACGTGTGATGTTGCCTCGGAGCAACATTAATAATTATAATCGAACTCCAGGCAGAAACTGCCTAGCAACGGCGTTTGGAACCTTCTCGATGCTTCCAAATGGGTATAGAAAACAAATGCAATCGTACAGCGAGCAAAATCTCCACGAGGCTGGCATTCGTGCGGCTGCCTTGGAGAGTGACACATCGAGCATTTTCAACAATCGTGTTTTGCGTCTAAGATTAGTTTACGCTTAGTAAAGAGTTATCTCGTTGACCGTGGATTCGTTTGAACCCAAAAACATTGTTAATAGTGTTCATTAAACTTATTATTCGTACAATTTATTATTCACTAACTTTATTATTCGTCAAACTTATTCGTTAGACTTATTATTTGTTAAGCTTTCTGATAGTCTTGTATATGCGTGTAAATATAATCTCGGCTTTGTGAAACAATGGCTAATTCACGTGAAGAGTTGTTACGCGCCCAAAATTCCAATTATAACCCGACATATATACGGAACACATGACACGTGCGCGAGCTCATTTCCGTTTCAACTACGGTACCGTGAAGATCAAAGAAATGAACTTTTATGAATTATATTACCAGTTTGTAACATTTGCGCTATTAGTTTATAACACAAACTATTAATTTACAAAATTTAAACTATTAATTTGTAACAATTTAGTATTAATTTGTGAATTAACGCCCGAATTCACGGTTTGCTTCGTGGGGCGGGGCTGGGTCACTTTAGACTGTTCGACACGACCCGCAATTTTTCAACTTTGACCTCAATTTATAGCAAAATCGCCAAAGCTATATGATTCTTGTTGGTTTCAATGAATTCTGTGGATTTCAATTAATACATTGATATACAATAGTTTGTCAATATCAGTTTGCATATATCTGTCGATAATGCTATCCCAATTTATTATATATGTCGGATTAGCACTGGGAGTAGGGTTGTGGGCGTCAAATGAATCTTCACGAGAATTAGCCATTGGTACGGTACACACGGGTAGTTGTGGGCGTCAAATGAATCTTCGCGAGGATTAGCCATTCATACGGTACACACAGGCGTAGTTTCTTGCAATGATAGAATTATTACAGTCTTTACAATTGATCACGGCGGTTTGGCACTCGCGACACTAGTGACGATGGTCTCAGGCTCAATAACGAATTCGCGGCCAACGGGATGACAAAAGAACGTACTCACAAAGTCTAAGTCTGATTCTTTGTTAGTAAAACGTGAAATAACCACTGATCGCGAAGATATTACTCTTTAATCGATGATATCGCGCGAGAGAATGCCTTCCCGTTCCGATGATGCCGCAGAGGAAAACTATCACGGGGTGTGTCTAAGGACGCGAGATCATCGAATTCGTCGAGAAAAGCCTTTGTTCGGAAAGTAAGGGAAATTGTCGTTGCTGGTGGTTAGAAAAAGATGCTAGCCGCCCTCGAGGGAAAGTTGCTAGCGGGAGACGCCGTTCGTTGAAAAATAGGTCCCTCCTATTTTCCCGTAGCTGGGACAAAGACTGTTTGTTTGAAGGACT